TACATCTGCTTACCTATAACCAGACCCGTTGAAATACCCCCCTCCCCCCTAGTTGACAACTTGACAAAAAACTTCAAATATTTTCAATATTTCCAAAACAACCTCTGGGCTGATCAAATCACGGTACTGCTAGCTCGAATTGGCAAATTTACCTTGTAGGCAGTTCTCCAGTTAGGAAAAGTAGAGAACCTGGAGAAAAACCCCTTCATCAAAGGTGAGACCTAACAAATCCTACTCAATTGTCATGTCGAGTCCAGGAATCGAACCTGAGACCCTAACGGTGCATGTATGTACTTCTGCCCCGCTAATGAATCATGATTCTTACAATCCTTGTTATTATCTTGTGAAGATGACATCAGGGTTGAACATATCATATCTTTACTCTCCGTAGCAAACCGCTGAACAAAGTCATCGTTTCATTTGTGAAACCAACTGGAACCCCCGAGATACGATCTGAAGACATCTACTCAAACAGCGTCAGCCCAACCAAGGAGCCTACAGATAGTCCACGGTTTGAGCATGCGTACATCCCAGGTGACGTCATACGTCACCTAGGCGCATACCATAGTCAGATGACGAGTCACATGACACCAATAAGCACGTGCCTTGATGATGACGTGCAATCTGAACGTTCGTATGGTGAAAACGTTATTGGGTACTCGCCGGGTGTGACGTCAAGAACAAATATCCTATCCCACATGGCGAAGCACAAAACGTCTTGGGTGGAGAATTCTATACAGAATCGTGTACAAACAGCACAAAGGACAAGTCCTATTCTTGTGAAAGGAACGAATCCAAACTCCTTCGAGACTCCTTACGAAAAAAGCCAGAGGTCCAAAGACACTAGTACTAAGGGGGTGAGGAACGGGAAACGATATGACCTGTTGCCGATATGCAAATATTTGGCGCACTTTCAAAACCAGATAAAAATGGCCAACAAAGAAGAAAAAAGATTACCACTAGTGCGTATTAGCTCTGTGCAAAGAATGCCCTCTCTACCTTCTCCAAGTGAACATCAATCCCGTTTGCCAGGTTTTTACCCAAGATTTTACAGAGGAAAGACGTTCTTCACCGAGCGCCACCAGTTTAAACCACGAGAGGCACGATCTCTGCCCACACGAGGGGAAGCAGCATTTATAGAAATAAGAGAACAGCTTCCTCGACTTTATAGAAAACAATATAATGCGCCGGTAGTCGTCATGGGAAGAGAACAAAAAGCTATAACATCGTCGCGAGAAAAGGTGGCGCTCCCTGTTGTTACGTAACGGATAGCCGTTTTGAACCAGCTGAGCTGAGAGTTTTTTATAGCCAGTCAGAATTGAGAAAATTTGCAAAACTGAGTTATCACTATTCCTCTTGAAATTTTGGATTTCCATGCCATCAAATGAAAAGAAAAATGTTGCTTATAATAGTGACATACTATCCAATATTTTTATTTTATTGGCAGGCATGTTTTTGGGTTTTCGTAGTCAATTTTTACAATCAGTGACAGTCAGTTTTGAAGTGACGTCGTTTCTAGTCATGGTTGGAAGTAGTTCGCAAGCAAAGTTTTGGTCAGCAATAAATACAAGAGAAGGCAAAAAAGTTTGTACGATGTTTTGACCTTTAAGTCAAGGTTTGGAGCTTACAAAGTTATTTTAGAAAGCAGATAAAGTTATTTCAAAAAAGGTTGGTAAAGGTTTTGTTGCAGGAGATATACCAAGTCCTTAATGTACTATGGGTGATGGAGATTGATGTGAATCCAATCTGCGATAGGTCCGACAACGATATGGAATTTAACCAAACTTTGTCTGCACGTTTTTCCTGTATATTTTCTCAGTTCTGTGCTGACATTTCAATTTCAATACATATTTCAATCTTCGTAAACAAAATTCTGCAACGATTACCTTCGCAGAACGTTCTTTTGAAATAGCTGTATATATTTACTATAGAACTATAGTTAGGATTTAGAATTTAGGATAGTAAGGATACTGAAGAAAAGTAAAAAAAACCACATACATTTACTTTAGAATTCGAAATGAAATATTGGAGTACATCATGAGTTTTGAGCTGTGTGCCCATCACGCTTCACTAGTTCTTTGATTATTTTTTTGTTTCCTTATAATTATATAAAACTGCATCATAATCAACTGAAATTAAAAGCGTGGAAGAGTTGAGAATATATTTGAAGCTTATAGATTATATTGGAATTCGTTTGGGAAGGAGCGGAGCAGTAACTGAGAAGGCAAGAAGGGGTTGAGAGGAGATCGGACGGGGAGGGAGGTAGGGAGGGAGGAAGGTAAATGGATGGAGGGAGGGTGGATGGTTGGAGGGAGGGTGGATAGATGGATGATGGATGGATGGAGGGAGGGAGGGAGGGAGGGATG